GTGCTAACAGTGGATTACCATCCCTCGTAATATGTTAAAAAATCTGTTTATGGTCTGTATGGTGCTGACAAGGGTAGTTAAGAGCAGTGAATAACATTATCACTAATGCATACATACTTACACACAAGGAATATGTTTTTTTTAATCCCTTTTAACAAATGACCTTCAAAAATAATTACAACTGGATAACAATACTTTGAGCCAAATTTTCTTATTTTTATTTTTGAACTCAGGTGGCTTTAGGAAATAATCTACTTGAGTTCTAGAAAAAATGTCAACAAACACAGATGTGAAAATGAGAAAAATTATGGTGTTTAGAAACTATAAGTTGTACAATACAGCTGGAGAGTACAGTGTCACTAAAGGAAAATATTGAGACTGAACACAGGGTCTTATTTTTAACTTGAGGACTTTTATTTTTACCTTTTATTGTGATTTGGGTGAAATTTTACAAAGCAAAGTAATTTTACATTCAATAGCTCATAAACATTTTGTTTTGTGAAACTGGTTACATTCCCTGCTGTGTAATAACTCACCTCTCACTTTCTCCCTGCAGTTAGTTAACTCTTTCCCTTTGTCCTTCTTGCCTATGCATTCCTGCCTTGCTACATTTCTTACTGTACAAATGCTGTCTTTCTGATCTTCCATGCTTGATTGTTCTAAGGAGTACCTCTCCCTAGTGTAGCTGTTCAGCTCATAGGCCTATCGTTTGAGAATTAAGTCATGGAAGTGAGTTCAATTCCAGGCCCAAAAGGTGACTTGGGCCACAATCTCAGGGGTTTCACCAGTTTCTATCAAACTAGTAAGACTGGTCTTTTTTTTTTTTTTTTATGATTTTGAGTTTTGTTCCACATTTTTCTGCTACTCTATCCAGGATCTCCAATTTTTATTCCTTTCTGAGTGATTGGCGTTGATAGCTGTGCAGTGTCTAGTTTTTTTCTGGTCTCAGGGTCATGTAGGCTGTATTAGTCTTTTGGACTATTCACATGCGTCTTTGATTTTCTTCACTCTTCTTTGCTCCAGAAGAAGAGAGACCAATAGTTGCCTCTTAGATGGCCTCTCACAAGCTTTTAAGACCCCAATCTCACTGAAATAAGATGTAGAACAATATGATTGTATATTAACTTCAGGATTTTTAATGATGAAGTACTTCAAATATACAGAAAAGAATTAGTATGATATTCACATACCTACCTGTCTTAGTTATCTAGTGCTGCTATGACAGAAATATCATAAGTGGATGGCTCTACCAAACAGAAATTTATTCTCTGATAGTTTAAGAGGTTAGAAGGCAAATTCAGGGTGCAAGCTCTAAGAAAAGTTTTTCTTTCTATTTTGGCTCTGAGGGAACATCCTTGCCTCCTTTCAACATCTGTATCCTTTGATCCCTCGGAGATCTCCATGTGTCTTGGCCTCATTCTTCTTCTGGGTCTAGGAGTTCCTTGGCACAGGGACCCAGGGTCAAAGGATGTGCTCCACTCCCTGCTTTTCTTTTTTGGTGATAGGTCCCTCTCATCTCTGCTTACTTGTTTAATCTATATCTCAAAAAAGATTGACTCAAAATACAATTGAATCCTATAGATTGTATCCTGCCTTATTAACATAAACCAAACCCAACCCACTGCCATTGAGTTGATTCCAACTCATAACAACCCCTATTGGGTTTCTAAGGCTGTAAATCTTTACAGAAGTAGATTGCCTTGTCTTCCTTTTGCAGAGTAGCTGATGAGTTTTGAACTGCCAATCATTGGTTAACAGCAAAATGCCTTACCCACTATGCCACCAGAGCTCCTCATTAACATGACTCTAATTGTGCTTCTTAACATCATAGAGGTGAAGACTGACAATACATAAAATAATTACTGATCACAAAATAGAGGATAAATATATCATTAAGTAACTGCCAGACTATATCATTACATAACTGTCAAACCACTGAGAATCATGGCCCACCTAAGTTAACTCATATATTTTGGGAACACAATTAAATCTGTGACACTACCCTTATACTTAGTAGTTATTATCTTTTTATCATATTTTTTTCATAAATTTCTTTTCTTTCTAAATATATATTGACTATTCAATGAAAGCTCTACCTGACTATCCGTATACTCCCCTCCCTCTCTAGGAATAATCACTGTCCTGAATTTCATGTATGACATTCCTATGTATGTTTCTATATATCAGTACTTATGAATAAATCCCTACACTGTTACACTTTTATGTTTTAAAAAATGTATAAATGGTGTCGTAGAGTATGTGTCATTATGTAGTTTATATCACTCAATGTTATGACTTTGAGCTTTAGCAACAGGGAATAAAGGGGATAAAGGTGGAGATGTGCATTCAGTATTGCACAGATAGAGATAATCATTTATTCAACTCACGTTTTAGTTCACTTGGGGAGTGAGTTGATGGTCACAGTTTTTGCATTTGTAGAAAATGCTAATGATATGCAGACCAGACTGGCCACCAAACACTGAAGTGAATGTAGGGAGAAACAAAATATTTGTACCCTAGTCTCTTCATTTCTGAAGGCCAGGTCTTTCTCCTATAATCCTTCATAGTGATGGAGGCTGCATGATCTTTAGTAATTATACTACAGAAGTCCAGTGATTGTCCAAGAGGTGGTCTACCCTGGATGGGTTAAGATTTGTGGTGGGAATTAGGGGAGATGCATCTCTTGGCTTCCATCAAGGGGACCTGGTGAG